TAAAAGCAAATCTATCCTATATGTTAGCTTTTAAAAAAATCGATTTTTGTAAAAAACTGTATTTTTTCCATTTAATCTAAAAAATGCATAACATACCTATCAAAAACTAAATTTCAAATTCATAGGGTTAAATATGTTCATTGATGGTGGAGAAGTTCTTGCGTATATCTCTAAAATTGTGTTGTAGTAAAAGCAGAGTGTAAGCTAGCGCACAATGTGAATTCAACACATCTGACATTATATATCAATAATCCATGTAAATATAAAACAGTTTATAAACAGTGCCGTTAACCGAGCCGCAAAGGCTTAAAGAGAACTTTTGTGAATCGGACATGCACCTATATAATAGAGGGTACCTTGAAATTAAGCCTTTACAAAGTTTATCTTTAAATGGAGTTGTATTTACCATTGACTAAATTCAATTTTAGTAATAGCTTATATGATATCTCTCTGACTAACCAGGGCAAATTGTGTTGTTTCTGCATTTTGAATTCAGGTGGCAGATACGTCATATGTGTGTGTCTGTACCAAAAGAGTGTGTGTAAAATTTACTGTACCGAAGGCGTGTACTGTAGCCTGTAGGTATATACAGTACTTACGAATCTAGGTATTTGTACAGTCTAGGAGAGTACATTTGTTTATTGTTAATTATTTACTTAAAAATAAGTTTAACATAAATGTAGTGTATTATATATATTTAAGTCAACACTATAAGCCAAATATTCATGCAAACAATATAATTTGACTAAAGTTTACAATAAACTACTCGTTTTCAAGTTAAATTATAATTGACAACATTATTCTGCAACTTCCTTGACTGTGGTCATGTTGTGTGTCTGTACCAATAAGGGTGGTTGTAAGGTTTAAGAAACAAAAATAAAAAAAGAATTTCTGATGATAACGCCAATCCCTACTCTCTTTACAGGCAAGTCTCAAAAAAAGAAAAGATAAGGATTTTATGTTTTATTAGATGAAATAAATAGATAAATATTTTCACTATTTCTTCATCCTCTTAAGCATGGTAGGCAGGGGCAGGGGCATAGGCAGGGGCGGGAGCGTAGGCAGGGGCAGCCTTAGGGGCATAAGCCTTCTCTGCGGGGTACTGGGGAACTCCCTCGTAAGAAACATCAGCGATGAATCCATCTTCATGGGTGGCAGTGTATCTGGTGGTCTGGATCCTTCCGTCGGGAAGGGCAATGGTGTAAGATCCAGCAACATTACCGTAGGCATCCTGGTTCTCTTCCTTCTGGAAGTTAGCCTTGCTGTAGTCATCATTTACTCCATATTGGTAGGCAAAGGGCTGAGGGGCCAGCTTCTCCTCCTGATAAGGGGCAGGTGCTCCATAGCCAGGGTTGGCAGGGATAGCAGCAACAGCAGCAACCAGGGCAGAGGCAAGAATAACCTAAACAATAGTTAAATTACTAACTGACTTCAGCGTTGCCTGTTGAATTTTTAAAAAAATTCTAACAAATATAAATAAAAAAAATCCAATTTTTTATGCCCTCGTCTCTACCCCCGGGGTACCCATGGGTTCCCTAAAAAAAATCAGCCAAGTTGGTCCAATTGTTTGCCCAAAAATATAAATCAGGAACACATTTTTGTATTGGATAAAATATTCTTAATAATGTAAAACATGAAGGAAGTTCACACAATAAGATGGCTCTTTAAAATTTTGAAAATGGTTACTGATATTAAATGAATAAAACAATATTAATGGTTTTATGTAGATAAATGTAAATTAAAGTTAAATGTAAACAGGGGAAAACAAAGGCAGCTGTAAAATCAGCTGATATTCCACTGTTAAGTTAATATTTGGTTTGGATAAAGGAGCTGTACCTTGAACATGTTTACTGTTTGATTCCTGTGAGAGAACTAATTTGACAAACCCGGGATTCTTCTTTATATAGTGAGAGCGCGGCGTATGTGCTTACTTACACCGCCACTTCCAGAGTACATTTCAATGCGCTCCATTGCCGTTTTACCAAGACTTAGTATAAATTTAAAACTAAAATATACCGTTACCATCATGTTTTATCGTCCAAATGTTAAAAAGTCCGTAAACTTTGAATTTTCACCCCATCCCCTCTCTCCCCGAAGCAATAAACCCTGAAGCTCTCTGTGAAATAACTGTAACAGTTGATCTTGAACTTGAAATGAACTATGCGCGTAAGAAAGTTGGTTGTGCACGGTTCCACTCCTAACCTAGAAAACCAAACAAAGGAACTGAGTTCTTGTCAAAAACTCTGATTTTCTAATTCCTATATCTTTGCAATTCAATGTCGTAGACCTTAGATATTTCAAACTATGAATTATGTAATATCAATTAATCTTAGTTTTAAATATCAAAATTTTACACAATCAGGTTGCAAAGAAATAGGGATTCAAAATTTTGAGTTTTTGGCAAAAACTCTATTCCTTTTTACTATTTCTTAAACTAAAGAGAATTGTCATCCTTGGGTTTTATTGCAGCTTTTCAAATGTTATCGAGAAAAAAAGCAAGACAGGTTTAAAAAGAGTTGGTTAAATGGCTAATTACACAGAATTGAAAGTCAAATTTATGTGAAATTACGACTTTGTGACCTTGTAGCTCCTGTAATTTAGATTTTAAAAGCAAATCTATCCAGTTAAATATTAGTAATTCAAGACATTTTTGTTAATTCTAGAAGAGTATTTTAATCCCTATAACTATGATTTCTGCTAATTAAAATAGTTATGTTTTGAAAAAGCGAGGGTTTACACAATCAGATTACAAATATATAATAATTTTAAAATTATATTTCGAATGTTAAGGTCCTTTAATTAAAATGTTTATGTTGTTCAAATCTGCAAATTAAAATTATATATTCGGGCACTTTAACAATTCACAAAATCTTTAAGTTTACTGTCAAACGATTTTAAAGTAAAATATTTTTTCCGTGTTATGAATGATTATTTTACAAGTTGTAACATATCTATTTTATTATAAATAGAGTACAGTGATAATCAGAAAGACTACGATTAGAATCAAGTTTTGACTTTAAAAAGTCTAATTAGACATGAGACATGAGTGTCTAGTAAAACTATCCACTTTGTAACAACCTCAATTACACTTAAATATTGCCTCAATGTCGTCTTTCTTCTCCATTATTTGCAGTAAACCCCTTGACTGCTTTTTTCAAATTTGAATTGACGAAAATGATAGAACAACGAAAAAGTCCTAATTCTATGTTGATCGAATATATTTATTATTCTAAAGTTTAGTTGTGTGTTCAGGCAAAGCTAGATCTTCATCCTATAGTTTGATAGAACTAATGTTGAGTCAATACTTGAGATAATTATTTATCTATAACCGGCGTGTATCTAGACATAAGTTTATATTAACAAAAACAATGTTATATACCCCTTTCTCCCCCACCCCCCGCTTTAAAAGTCTAGTATCTGGCACTGCCCCTTTAAAAGTCTAGTATCTGGCACTGCCCCTTTGCTCCTCCCCTTTGCCCGCCCTTGAAAGAAAACATTCAACTCTCGCAAAACTAAGAAAAACTTTTTTTATCGATTTTATCGATTTTAAAATGATAAACATCGAAAAAAGACGTGGTTGGAGATTTTTCGTTTTTATTCCAATTTTAAACCTCCAGAATTGCTCACCGTTTTGTAATATTTTTTATTTAAATTTTATTCCCCTGGTTTTCAATGCACCGCAAAATTTTCAAAAATTCATAATTAACAATTGAACTTTTTAATCGATTCTTATTTCAAGCATTTTAGCTGAGTCATTCATATTTAAACATATCTTATACTTTCTGTTTTATATTGAGACTCAGAAAAAAAGAAATCTTTGGAAAACGTTTCAAATCCACTTTTTCCGGAAAACGTTTTATTTCCATCACTGTTTTTTAAGCAACGTTTCAAATTCATTAAGACAAAATTATACTCCAAAATAAATTAGATCTTTATTATTGTTTCTTGGAAAACATTCCCCCCCCCCCAGCTGTTTCTTAGAAAACGTTTCAATTTCATTACTGTTGCTAAACAACGTTTAATCTCCACTGTTCCTAACTCTGAGACACAATTATAATTATTTCTTCATTGCTGTTTCTTGGACAACATTTTTTCTGCCACTGTTTCTTGTAAAACGTTTAAACTTCATTACTGTGTCTAACCTAACATTTCAAATCTTTTAAAATAGTTGACAGCGTCTGTCTATAAAACTCAATTCTAAATAAATTAAAAACGGCGAAGTTGGCTTATCAAATCCCGTCATTAAAGAGTTTGTTTAAAAATAATTATTTGAAATTATGCGATTTGATCATAACTATCTATCTATCTATCTATCTATCTATCTATCTATCTATCTATCTATCTATCTATCTATCTATCTATCTATCTATCTATCTATCTATTTATCTATCTATCTATCTATCTATCTATCTATCTATCTATCTATTTATCTATCTATCTATCTATCTATCTATCTATCTATCTATCTATCTATCTATCTATCTATCTATCTATCTATCTATCTATCTATCTAAAAGAGTTTAGTGGTTTGTTTTACATTTGGATATATGCCAGATAATTGTGTAAAATGCAATAATTATATAATATACGCTAGTCAACCATATTAAATTATCAAATGTCTAATACTAACGATACATTTATAATTAGTCACTTCTCCCACTCACTTGCCAGGTTTTTTTCAGTTTTAACAGTTGAATTATTAAAATAAATCAGGGGCGGGTACAGGAACCTTTCCAGGGAGGGGCGGACATTTTTTTTAATATTGTTGGGGGGTTAGTACCAGTGTGCGCCTAACCCCTCCCCTGTAATTAATAGAGTTATGCACCTCTAGACAGGGGGGGGNATTTGGACATAAAACATGGGATTTAGAGGGGGGGGTCAAATTGACCCCCCCCCAGCGTATCCTGGTTTTCAAGTACCCCAGCGGAGATAGGGTTAAGGATGTAATAAATGAAAACATAAAACATTATCATGATATGTTTGGACTTTTAAATAAAGCCTTTAAGGATGTAATAAATGAAAACATAAAACATTATCATGATATGTTTGGACTATTAAATAAAGCCTTTAAGGATGTAATAAATGAAGACATAAAACATTATCATGATATGGTGCCAAGAATTTTTAAAAAAAGACTGAACTCCACAAAGTCTTCTCCTGAAGTGACATTCTGTATTAAAGTTTCCAGCGAACGAAACCTTTCGCAAAAAAATGTGAAAAATTGCTAACATTTTCGTTTTTCGCAAAAATTAATTTTTTCGCGAAAATTGATAAAGCGAAAACGATGCGAAATTTAGTAAAAAAAAAATCCGCCAAAAACAGTGTTGTAGTTGCAACAATTAATTACGCAAAAAAATTTCAGCCTACCATTAGTAGTTTTATTAAACCATAGTTAATAATTTGTGTTCCGTACTTTTTGTTCGGAAAACTATCGCATTTTCCCCCCGAATTTTTTGCGTTTATTTTTTTCCGCAAAGTTTTTGCGAAATTTTCATATTTTTTCGCATTTTTTTTCTCGCGAAAATTTTCGCATTTTTCTGGAGCGAACGCTAAGCAAAAATGCTAAGTTTTAGCGAAACGAATTATCCTTTTCGCATATACATAGAACTATAAGAATTTATAACGCTTTTTTTGTTTTATAACGCATCATTATTTTCTACTTGAAAATTTTTACATTTTTGTAAATAAATTCAATTTGTACAAATTAAAGGCTAAATGTTTCCAAGCGTGTCATCAATTATGAAATTAAATAAAAGTTGAAACCATAGAAACAGAAACAGGGGAAATCGAAAGAAACCTTCGATACTTTATTAAAAGTACTTTCGAAGTTATTTCAAGTAACTCTCTCTTTAAAGTTTTAAATTCCTGATTCATCAAGTTTTCAGAAAGTGAAAACAAGGATTTTTTCTGAGACTAAGGTTTCAAGGGTACTCGATGCTGCACAAAATGCTAAAAGTTGCATATAGTCGTACCGTCCAGGCTGGACTACATGGAGTCTAACTAGCACGTTTTATGCAACAAATATAGCCTAGCAAGAACAGAGTGAATGTGAATAGAATTAAGGGTAACTTGACACTACTTTACCAGTCCCTTTAAACTTGTATTCAGCAGGACACACATTGTCCTTTAAACTTGTATTCAGCAGGACACACCGCGTCCTTTAAACTTGTATTCAGCAGGACACACCGCGTCCTTTAAACTTGTATTCAGCAGGATAAACCGTGTTCTTTTTCCATCTTAGACATTTCATTGCTTCTCAAGTTGCCCCCCCCCCTCATAATACATAAAGTACATCTGCACAACGGGTTATCCTGTATCAAGTATAAGGACTAATTTTTACAATTTTATATTTGTTCAATATCATAAATAAATATTGAATTCCTCTCAAAGGATGAAAATATGGTAACGACCTAAATATTTTCAAATATCTAACCATATTTTTGCAGGGGTCAATATAATTCCTTTTTCAATCCCATTTGGGATAAAAAATTTAACTGGGGGCATTTTTTAAAAAATTGGGGGCATTTTTTCAAAATTGGGGGCAAAAAATAATTTTGGGATCAAGAAAATCAGCTTTTTTGGGAATTATATTGACCCCTGTATTTTTGGTTTACAGTTTGGAAAATAATCTTCCAAAGTTGTGCTTGTCAAACATAACTTAGAAAGTTATAAGAGATGTAACAACCCCCCGAATTTGTAAAGTGAGTGGGTGGGGGGAACTTTGTCCCCCCCCCCTGTTAAGCATGTTTATGATGATGTTTTGATAATACAATTAACACTTTTAAATCTGACAAATATGCAAATTTTTAAAATCCAATCATCATCATCCAAAATCAAATGCTTTCATCAAATTGTTTAATCATGCATTTGGGTCAAAACAAAGATCAGATTTGGCAAAGAAAGCCTAAACTTCGAGCTAGAGTTTTTTATTTAAA